AGATTGGAAAGCAAAATTGAGACGGTAACCGGTAACCGCCTTTAAACGAGCCGGAACTCGGAGAAGTCCTTCCTTGGATGTTGGTATGCTGCAATAGTGATAATGACACAAGTAAACATAACTGGAGATGCAAGAGATCCAGCTGAATATCTTGTCCAACTACGATGCACGGGAGGATGGACAGATGAGGAATATAAAGCTTTGATAGGCATTTCAGTTATCAGCGTCTTTTTAGCCTTTAACGCTATTCTTGGCAATACCTTGATCCTTGTCGCGCTTCACAAAGAAACTGTCCTGTATCAACCGTCCAAACTCTTGTATAAGTGTCTGGCAACAACAGATCTTTGCGCTGGTCTTATATTGGAGCCGGTTGCAACTGTTTATCGGTTTTCTCTCATTCACGAAGATTGGAAACTCTGTCGCTATGCAGTGACCACGCGTTTTATGGTAGGCTTTCCTCTATTTTCAGTCTCTCTGTTTACAGTTACAGCCATAAGTATAGACAGACTTCTTGCCTTGTTACTGGGGCTGAGGTACAAACATGTTGTTACTTTAAAGCGAACATATGTCTTCGTTATCATCATTTGGGTTGTGGCCACAGTCACCGCGAATTCCTACTTTGTGAATCCCCAAGTAATCGTCTGGCATAACTACATCGTTACACCATTTTGTATTATGACAGCAACGTTCTCGTACACAACTATTTTCCTTTCTCTCCGTCGTCACCAGAATCAAATGCAAGTTAATGAACCGCAACAACCGGGCCAGCAAGTCTCCCTGAATATGATGCGATACAGGAAAGCGGTATACAGTGCACTATGGGTGCAGGTGGCACTCGTACTTTGCTTTCTACCGTACAGTATTACAACAGTCAACCTTACTACAGAAAAATTGTCTACGTTTGACTTGATTGTCTTAGAATGTGTTGTAACTCTGGTTAAGTTAAACTCTACGCTTAACCCGTTCCTTTACTGTTGGAAAATTAGTGAGGTGAGACAAGAAGTGAAGGCGACAATTAGACAAGCACTTTGCTGCCCATCAGAGGTTTAGTCCATGAACAAGTCACGGAAGTGTCACCACTCACACGTGTAGCCGCACCTTCCCTCCTCCCCCACCACGCCCTCAAGGTGAAACGGAAGATAAACAACAACATTAAAGGGAATTCATTTTCCATTTTTTGGGCAAATTTGCAATTCAGCGTCCAAGTTCAAATATATACTTTGCTTTAGATTTTTGGTATAGAGTAAGAAGAGGACAATGTTCGATTAGCATCGCGCTTACGAAATCGTAGATTTCAACGTCAACGCTCTTTTTGCTTGCATTTGTAAACAATGCCACAGTCGTCGAAAAAGTTGGATCGTTTGCCGCAGAATCTCAAGATTTTTACAGATTTCTTTAAGAGATAGTTACGCTGCAAACTTTTTTCAGTCGAAAGGTTCGTTGCAAGAAACAACTAGCTTTAATTTAATAGCTTCGAAACACCTTTAGCAAGGAGACCGAAAGTTTGTTGGCACGATAAATATAGTGACTGGTTGTTCTGGAGAGGAGAGGCGATCGGCCACTGGCACTGCTCGATATATTTAAGATTTTCCATAGCCAGTTGGTAACGAAACGGAAACATAAATAACTTCGAAAAATATATCTATGGCTTTCTGCTGTTCTTGAAATGTCTCTATCCCAAACGTTGCGCAAACTTTCCGTTTTTGTCTGAAAAGTCGACCATGAAAGCATTTTGTTCACCGCCTTGTTTGTTAGAATGAAAATAAATTACCAACTCTAGCCAATCAGAATTGACAAAATGATAGGCAAAAAAGGGGGGGGGGGGGGGGGGTTGAGGGTACGGCTACAAGTAGCCTAACAGCTCAGAAACAACATCTGTCTTTGGGTAACATTATAGTTCCGAGGTTGGTCCTACTCAAACGAACTTCAAGGAAGAGAAATGTAATATTCAGCCAGGAAAAATCAGAAACATTTGAGGTGTTGACTTCATGATCCAATGAATTCCTACTTTGCCAAGACAGCATCTTACTTATTTGGCCCGTGAATTGTATAAGTAGAATGATGTAGACTACTCCCTTGTTATGTGTAATATAGATTCATTTTGTTTTGTCATAATTTTCTAATAAAAAAAAATTCCGCAATTTTTTATCATTATCTTTTCAATTAATTTATTATTTTAACAAACATCATTATGATCTTACAATACAATACTTAAAACTACATCATTACAGTTTTCAATATGTACTCCAGTCTGAGTGCCGCATTCTTTAGATTGGATGTGGCGTTTAATCGAAAAAATGCAATATATAGGTATTTGAAAACTACCTAACCCCCGTATCTACACGCTGGAGACCCATGCGGTTAATTTTATCCAGCTATTGAAGTTTAAGCAGTTCTTGTGACTTTCGTGGAATATAGCTAAGTTTGAAAGGAAATATTTGTTATTCCACAAAAAAGATCAATTTCATACTGCCATAGTTAATTCCCCATTAATCTGCGTTTAATTCTTGAGATTCAGGATAATTTACCAGCACTTAGTTCGATTTCAATGACATGTTCTTGGGTTGCATTCACTTTTACCTTTTGAGCTGTTTATCAACGGAGCATTTTTAGAGGGTTGTCGAAAACACACGAAGCGGGGGCAGTGTTCAGCACAGGAATATGGGGCCATTCTCTAACGCATTCGAAAAATAGAGAAATCTTGAGTGAAGTTTCCCTTATTGAGTCTCAATATGACAGCCCCTTCAAGCTTTCTTTTAAATTGCTACTTAAAATTTTCTCGTCAAAGTTGTGAAAATCGCCGCTTTTCAGTTCATTTAATTTCCAGAATTACATCAGTTTCTTGTTTCATCCCCCTAACAAAAACTCGCTAACTTAACTAACAAAAACCACCCTCTTTGACTCTGGTCTTTTAAATGACCCTATCAACAACTCAACAACGTATAAATAAGAAATTCCTTAAAAATTAACAAACAAAGAAGCGTTTACTGTGCTCTGTTCTGTTGGAAAACACGCAGGAAGTGGATAAAAGAGGAAAGAAGTCAATGGGAAAACACAAGACGTGGTTGAGAGTTTCGCCTCACCTCTTGAGTGCTCTAGCTGCTTCCTAAGAGCTTTACAACAGAGCAGAGAACAGTCAAGGCTTCTTTATTTGTTTATAACAAAGAATCCGTTAAATTCCCCAAGCATCTGACTCACTTAAATTTTCAAAACAAACTTTTTTACCAAAGCTAACAAAAGTATCGTCGGTTTTTTTTACATTTATTTGACATATATTTCAATTTAATGGCAAGGAAGACTAAGAAACATAGAGAATGCCACAAGGATAATCAGCAAAAGAATTATGGATCCCATACGAGAACGAAAACCTTAAACTTAAGGAAAAAAAAGAAATTAGAGAACGGAATTCTGTATATAGGAGAGTAAAAGTTATAACTGAAATATGCAAAAGACTATCGTGTAGCCGAGAAATCAGCTACTCCCTTCTTACAGTTCTTAGAACTAAAAATCTTGGAGCACAACGAGTTGACCGTGGTCAAGCATTCCACCTATCAACAATCCCGTTAAAAAAGCTGAATTTGAAAATTGTTTTTCCCCCCTCTGAGAGTATTTTACAGAATCTGAGTACAACAGAATAAAATGAGAAATGTCTATATTAGTGTACTCATTTATGACTTTATGAAAAAATTAAAACATCAAACATATACCCGCAATTTAGTATTATCAACTGAGTCGTTAACGTAGATTGGCCACCGTAAAGAGTTTGAAAGCTGACATAAGATGTCTTTAAAACACAGTGACTTGCTGGCTTGAGTTCTTGTTTTTTACTCGTGTGAGACAGCCTGAGAGCACGTCACTAATTCCTTACAACGTTGCCACTTGAGCCGACGTTTGATCTCTGTGGCACAACACCACAACCCGACTCAAGTTTAACCTCAAGATTGCATTCAATCTCGAAATCTCGAGCCCAGGGTCATTTTGGCGCATTGTCAGCGGTATGGTCGTTTTTTGTTGTAGGCAGGTCATGTATGGGGAATTATTATGGACTTTACTGTATGTATGTAAAGTATAGGACATAATATGTATTGAGTAGATAATAATTCCCCATACATGACATACCTAGGTCATTTGGCGATCAAAACGCTGACAAAGAGCAAAAATTACCCTGCGCTCGAGGTTGGCTTGCAGGAGGATATTCGTCAACTTTGCCTACGGTTGACAGAATAATCTGCAATGTGACGTCTTTCATAATGGAAGCAAAGATTTTACCAATAGACGTTAACGGGAATATAGAAGTATAGCTGTCAGTAAGAGACGTTAGGCGCTTAAATATAAACGCCGGTATGAAAGACGTCACATTGCAGATTATTCTGTCAACCGTAGGCAAAGTTGACGAATATCCTCCTGCAAGCCAACCTCGAGCGCAGGGTAATTTTCGCTCTTTGTTAAATACATCCGACCGCAAGACTTTGTAATCAAATGAAAGATAAATTGCACTTAACATTGAAATACAACAAATCAGCAGTGTCAATAACACTGTAGGAACTAGTAATTTACTCAGTTCAATTTCAATCGGCCAAAAATCTCTTAAGGGAATATTTGATATCGTAAATTCTTTTTAAATGCATATTTGCAATTAAAAAACATTAATCTTAGAAACAGCATGATTTATAAAGTTTGTTGGAATAAGACCTCGACGCAAATGCATCTTCATTTTGAATGCAGGGAAAATCAGCTCTTGTGTAACTTTAGTTAAAAATCAGGAGACAGACCGATATTTGTTTACATTAGAATTTGAAAATATAAAATCATTTCCGTCCTTTTACTGACAGCAGGCGATTTGGACAAGGCAAGTCAGGTTCATTTTCGTACTATAACAAAATTTAAATCTTCTCCTCCCAAATTATACACACGTAGCAAGAGATATATTTTAAAAAAATCCAAGTACTTTTCTTTTAATCGTTACGTTCGGGTTATATTTATTAGAAACAACTCATCTTATGGAAAAAGGAAACTTTACTGATGGCGAAAAATACTCTGGGGTGTTTGAACAGCGGCGATGCTCAGACTCCTTAACAAGAGGAATGGAAGGACATCTCAAATATCTCATAGCGTTTAATAGCTTTCTTTCCGTCGTTGCATTTCTTGGAAATACTCTCGTGCTGGTGGCTCTTCGAAAGGAAACTTCGCTTCATCCGCCCTCGAAGCTTTTGTTACGTTGTCTGGCAGCAACTGATCTCTGCGTTGGTCTGATTACAGAACCCCTGAATGTCAATTATTGGGTGTCCCTATTAAAGGAGGATTGGAACACTTGTCTTTATGCATATAAGGCATGTTTCATAACAAGTTATATTTTGTCTTCCGTATCTTTGTTAACAATAACGGCAATAAGCGTGGACAGACTTCTCGCTTTGTTACTGGGGCTGAGATATAAACTCATTGTAACTTTAAAGCGAACATATGCGACTGTGATTACCTTTTGGTTTGTTTCCACTGCGGCTGCCACACTATATCTCTTAAACCATCTTATCACCTTTCTTTATGGCTACATTTTCATACCGTCATGTATTTTCATTTCAATTTGTTCCTATACAAAGATTTTCTTTACATTACGCCACCATCGAACTCGTGCACAAGAAAATGTCTCTGATGGAATACCGGGTAGAGCTAGGAACCTGGCGCGACACAGAAGGGCAGTGATCAGTGCATTGTGGGTCCAACTGGCTTTAGTTGCTTGCTATATTCCTTATGGTGTTGTGGGTGTTTTCTTAAGTAATAGTAAACTCACGCCATCAAAATTTTTCTTTTTGGAGGTTACGATATCCTCAGTGTACTTAAACTCATCTTTAAACCCGTTTCTTTACTTCTGGAAGATAAGCGAAGTGAGAAATGCAGTAAAAACTACATTAGACAAGTTCCTCCTCATTTATGCAGTTAACAAGAGCACTTTTTCCGTAACAGAGCGCAGAAAAGATATTTAAACTCAATAATTATCTCAATAGATGCAATGACAACGCGAATCTTAGTGGAAATGATCAGTGATGAGACCCAACTAGATACCTCATAGAACAGCTAAGGAGTTCGTCCCACGCTCTTAGCGAATATTTAACAGGTCTTCTTCCCAGTATTAAAAACACAGGAAATATTTCAATGAACTGAGTAACGTATAACATCCAGTCCTTGCCGAACGTCGTAAGCGGTACCTCACCCTCGAACAGCTTTGCTTCTAACACATGTGGAAACGAAACGAATCAATCTTATTTCTCAAATTTTACCTTTGATCAAAAAGGGAAACCTTTTGTTGCTATCTAATACGATTTCAAGTTTCGCTTTGACGCAAATAAACACAACTTGATAGCAACCATGTTTGAAGGACTAAGCGGAAATCGTGCCAACTATCACCATGTCGCGATTGAGTCAAGCCACCAAAAGTTTATTGATTATTCAACGTTTGTACGTATCCAATGGTTGCCGAAACGGACCTACTTAATTAAACGAGATGTGATTTGATAACTCTGCTTCGTACAATAAAGAAAATGTCGAACTCGTCAAATTACATTTCCTCATTTAGTTTAAATGAGAAGTAATGAGGATGAGATATGGTCGCAGAGCATCCACATAAAATGTTGACAAGTTCTCACTTAGCTTGCCCTTTGCCACTTCGCCATTACAAGAGGCAGAGAAAAGCACGATCTCGCTCGTAGCTCAAAAATTTTCGCAGTGTGGCAGAATTGAGAGAGCATTCATTGGTGCAAAAAAGGTAGGAAATAGGGAAAGCAAAACGTGACAATGTTGATGCGGTAACAGACGGGGCCATTATTTCTCATTAAGTCAGAGTTTAAACGATTTGGTAAACTATTATTTCTGGCTAATAATGTTTGAAACAACAACAACGAATTATTTTAACTTTTGAGCGATCTTTTGAGCATACTGTTTATTGACGTTCAGTCAAAATCCTGAATTACCACCAAAGTGAAATCGACAGCATCAATCAAAGCCTTCACAAATCGTACCTAGAGTTATCCGGCGTAAATTGTAACCGCCAAATAGCGGCCTAACAAACAGAAAAAATTTTCTTTGATACATTGCGTTGGAATAACTGTTATCCTCATTGATCGTTAGTTCTCTCAGGATTATTTCGTAAAGAGAAAGCAGGGTCTCTCAGTTTCAGAAGTAAAAACAAACACTTAGTTATGTGACGTGCACGTGAAGGCTAAACAAATGGCTTGGGCAGCAAGAATGTACAGAAACCCGTGTCCTTAACTAAATAATGACAGCAAAGTTGAAAAACACATATTTGACGAAAAACTGTATGATTTAATCATTTACAACACTAACTCTGCGAAAAAACCCAAGTTTGCGTGTTTCGAATTTACTTGTATCCTGTCAGGACCGAGTTTGGTCCTATTCGCACTTGCATCTACATTATTTATATTATGTGTCAAAAAAAATCATATCTAGCTGTCACTGAATAACATCTTCCTTGACTTAAGTCAACACGCCTAAGGTTTCCCGCAAACATGAGTAATCTCGTCCTTGAAGAGAGAACGAGCGAGTATATTTCCGCGCCAAATGGAGGCTATTTTGTTTATCATCCTTCAACTATTTTTCTCAAATTACTATAAAAAAAGTGTTTAAGAACAGTTAACCGTTCACTGTGTAGGATGTTCACCTTTCAGTGTTCCCTGGTACGATTTTATGAACAAACAAACATGTCCCCCCTCTCATGACAACCACAAAATGCTCCCTCACTCACCATAAATTAACTTCATGATTCGTCAAATATTCTTGCTCGCGCGCGACTGGTCTTAACGCATCTCATTAACAAATACTCCCCAGCTAAAACTGGGGTTATCCGAGGATATCACTTAAGTGATACCCTCCAATTTTCAAACCTTACGTCCACTACGATAAAATTTTTGGTTAAAAATTCGATTTAAGATGAGAGAGTGTTTACCATTGTTACAGAAGAAGGGAAATAAATGTTTGTTCCTTAAGTCGTGCCAGAGAACGCTCAAAAGAAAACATACCACGCAGAAAACAGTGAGCTTTTTCTAAACATTTTTCACGCGCGTTGCAAAATATTTGGAGGATAAGAAAAAAATGGCCTCTATTTATCGCGAAAATATGCTCGTATATCTGTTCTTGGACATTATCTGTTCCTCAACGCTCACTTTTTTCCTTGCCATAAATTTATTTCGTTCCTTGAATTTTGCCCCTGAATGTTTTTGAAAGAGAACGTAACTATCGATTAAAAATATCTGTTCCTCATTCTAATTGTGGATGATGAAGTTATTAGAATCATTCCTTCCATGACTTATGCCGAAAACCAATATTAGGAGAGGAAGTTCTGTTTCATATGAGTTAGTACAGCAAATTACAAAGGAAGACCGTAATTGACGTTCGCGAATTTTCCTCAAACTAACAGCATTGTTCAAATGAGCTTATTAATGTAACTCGAAAATTGAAAATTGGCACGCGCCTTCAGCCGCCTTTTTTTCTGTGGAACAAGGTCTAGTTGCACAGCTTAATCATAGTCGTAACTGAGTTTACCTTAAGTAAAAGCATACTCTTAAAAATAATCCTTTCCATTCACATATATTGCGACTGTACATTAGTAGTGCCGTATTTGTATCGTTAGTCCGGCTGGCTCTGTGGGAGGATTGATCAATTTGGTCGTGGATCTAAACTAATCATCTCTAGATCGCTTACATGGTTGGTAACTTTTAAGAATATTGTTTTCTGTTTTTGTTTTCGTTTTTGCTTTTTTTTTTTTGTGGCGGTACCTGATCAATATTGAGGCACGTTGACATCTCGCTTTGACATCTACATCTCAAATAACGCCGCTTGCCTCATGTATTTTGAAGATATTAGTTAAATTTTATGACATGCTTTAAGTGGATAGCCAAATGGAGTCCCTTACTAGTATAACCAATCAGCATCGCTACCCTTTTATTTTAAGAATTTAAAATAGCTTCAAATATTTGTTCAGATGAATTATGACTCCTGAAAAAATTAAAATTGGTTTTAATCCTTTTTTCAATTACTTGGCCTTAAAATTAATAGTACCATTAAGAAAGAGTTCTGTCCTTCTCCATAAATTAACGTAACAGTTAAGAAGCCGGAAATTAAAATACCGCCTTTGACTTAAGTCTTAATGGATCGAAATGTGGTAAGCAAACATCTTATACACTTCCTACTTTCCTTTCTTTTAACTTCATTAGAACGCAGTACACAGACGCAGACGCACCCAAACTTGCTGTCGTCGAAACATCCCACTTTTTCAGGAAAAATGGGGATCAGAAATTATAGCGGAGCTGTAGTACAGGCTAAATCGTTTGAAGAAATACGGTGCTCAATGGTCTTGACAAGTGGAATACACGAGATTTTAACATACATTCTATTGCTGAACATTATCATATCTGTCACTGCATTCATTGGAAACACGCTGATTTTAGTTGCCCTTGGAAAAGATTCTTCCCTTCCAACACCGTCTCGACTTTTACTCCGTTGTTTAGCAATAACTGACCTATGCGTTGCTCTCATTGTGGAGCCACTCAATATCACTTATTTAACGTCCATTATCAATTACGATGTGAATCTTTGTCGATTTTCAGCTGTAGCATCGTTCATGGCAGGTTATATGTTAGGTTCAGTGTCCTTACTAACTTTAACTGGAATAAGCGTGGACAGACTTCTAGCCCTGTTCATGTGGCTGAGATACAGAGAAATAGTAACCGTAAAGAGAACGTTTGTAGTCCTTACAACCTTTTGGGTTCTGTCCTCTTTAGTCTCTGCAACGTATCTGGTAGGTCACCAAATAACATTTTGGTATGGTCGCATAGTAATAACATTGTGTCTAGTAACCGCAATCCTCTCTTACACAAAGATTTTCTTCGCAATTCGTCGTCATCAGATCGATGTGAAACAACGCACCCAACAACAACAAACCAACCAAACAATACTAAACATCGCTCGATACAGAAAGGCAGTGTACACTGCATTGTGGGTGCAGGCGGTGTTGGTTGTTTGCTATCTTCCATATAGTATAGTCATAGCTTTGTTTAGTCATGAGAGCATTTCATCATCGTATTTTGTCTCTTGGACGGTAACAGTGAGTCTGGTTTATCTTAACTCGTCGTTAAATCCATTTCTTTACTGCTGGAGGATTAGTGAAATTAGACAAGTTGTCAAGGGGACGATTAGGCAAGCATTTAACTGTATATGGAATTAGAGCATTAGCAAGTCACAAAAGATAATATATACTGACAAAAGTTAAGTCAATTTCTGCTCCATTTGAGTTCGTCGTCGAAACTTAATTTAACGTAAGTCATTATCACTTAGTTCGACAATTAAGAGGAAGCGGGATTTTTTTGTAAATAAAGTAATTTTAAATCTTATTAATAAATAATGTATATAAATGCTCTTCTTTGCTATATTTGGAAGAAATATAATTCGATAAAGTTTGCTTATCTGAGAAAAAGAATTGCACAAGGTTTCCTCGGATTTTTCCTATCTACCTATTTATTGGTAAGAGGTTAATTCTTAAGAAATGTTGAAATAAAATTAAAACTCTCACTTTTGCCGGAAGTGGATAAAATGATAGAAGAAATTTATACACACCCTAATGGTGATATTCTCCTATAAAGACTTCACTCCATCTAAAATTTATCAATTCCTGCGCGTAATGCAAAACTCTCTTTCCAATCGAGTACGAAACTGCACGAGTTTGTGATTACTTACAAAGTGGAGTCACGTTACTTTACTTTGAGAAGTCCGAGAAGGTATTGTTCCATTTGCTGGATGTTGAGATATTAACTAGAGCATTCTGTATGTTTTGACAGTCAGCTAAGGTTAGCTAAGTGAGTGAGTGCCCTTTAAGATATGTGGCCAACATTTTCATTGGAAAAAAGTTACTAATTTACCAATAATTTTGGAAAGAAAAATTAAACTTTCACTTTGCCGCAGGTGAAGGTAATGATAGCTGGATAGGGAAGAGGGGATCAATATTGATACCTGATAACGTAGTATTTTCCATATTAAGAAAGCTGCCGATAAGTCGCATGTCAAACAAAGTAAACTGAGCCATTTTTTTTTTTTTTTTCATTTCCGCCATTAAAGAAATGCCAAACCGTTATTAAAAAAATCCGTCATATCTTCTTAAAGGATCAACTCCTCATCAGGATCTTTCAATCCCATTATGCAATCTTTGATGCGAATTATGAAACAGACTGCAGTAAAAATGATTATATATTTAGGATGATATGGCAGTATGAATGCATGCTGTTCATTTCGAATTTTTTCAGACGCGTCCCATTTTTCTCACATTGTAATTACTTATCTTCACAGGCTGTTAATAGAAAATTAATATTCGAGAAATGACTGGGAAAGGATTCTGAGACAGAGACGCTAGAAAAGCAAGGAAATGATTCTGTGATTAATTTTAATCAGTATGCTAAGTAAATTAATAATTAGGAAAGTAGTAGAAATTTTCCAGCATTTATTTCAGAGCTTAAGGGCCACGCCAAAGACTTCAGCTCTTTGGTTAACTATAGATTTGAATATTAGTTTAATCGTAAAACTTATTCAGCTAATCCGACTTCGCTTGAAATATTTCGCTACCTTTTCGGCGCAATTAAAAACATCACTCCAAAAAAGATAAACATTACTTTATAAAACAAACGGAAATGGTTTAAATGGACTTTTGTCGGTTTAAAACAACACGAACACATGAAAATGAAAGTTTGGCAAATTTATTTTCTCAATTTCTGTTTTTGAAACTTATGTACAGAGCTAATATTTAAATTTGTGCCCACCTGCTCCATATTTTTCAGTTTCAGAATAATTTTCCCGTTGTCTACGTCTCTTACGCTTAATGTATCTAGAAAGCTACACATAAGCAGATAAGTTAAAATGACGAGCACAAACTACACCCGAACCGAAGGGCAGGCTGAAACATTCCAAAAGATGCGATGCTCGATGAATGCCACAAGCGCAGTACAAGGGCAACTATTCTATCTAATAACGATAAATACAATTGTATCCGTCGTTGCCTTTCTTGGAAATGCACTCATCCTGTTCGCCCTCCGCAAGGATTGTTCCCTTCATCCGCCGTCTAAACTGTTGCTCCGTTGTCTAACGACGACGGATCTTTTAGTTGGTCTCATTGCAGAACCAAGCAACATTGCCTATTTGATATCTCTCCTCCTGGGTGAATGGCACCTTTGTCAATTCTCTTCAGCTATATCTTTCATCGTGGGTTATATGTTGGGAACAGTTTCCCTGTTGACAGTCACTGCAGTAAGTGTGGACAGACTTCTAGCCCTGTTGTTAGGCCTGAGATACAGACAAGTGGTAACCCTGAAGCGAACCTTTTCTCTTATACTTATCTTTTGGATCGTGTGTAGCGTCGCGGCAGTATCGTACCTAGTGAGTTTCCTGATAACTTTTTGGTATGGCCTGATTGTCGTGTCCTGCAGTCTAACAACCACGGTCTTCTCGTGTATAATGATTTTCTGCACAATTCGCCGCCACCAATTCGAAGTGCAAGATCGTCCATGTCAACAGCAACGGAGACAGCAAATTGCAATGGATATACCGCGATACCGTAAGGCAGTGTCCAGTGTGCTGTGGGTTCAGGTGGCATTAATTGTTTGCTATCTTCCCTTTGGTATAGTTACATCTTTGTTCAATAATCATTTGTCATCATTTAATGTTCTAATCTGGGACTTATCAGTGATTTTGGTCTATTTAAATTCGGCGTTGAACCCGTTTCTTTACTGCTGGAAAATTTCTGAAATAAAACAGGCAGTGAAAATGACAGTCAGAGATGCGCTCTGCTGTTAAGGGAATTAATCAAGGCTGAAACGCTATTCCTTACTGTATCAGATCGCCTTGTGAATCCAAATTGCATAAGAAGATGAAGTTAATACATCGAGATAACCTAAAGCTAGATAAGAACCATATTGAAGTCTCTCATGTGATTGAAAAATCTAAAGCATTATCTTAATAGCTTGTAAAACATCACTATTTAGGAATAACTTTAGTTTTATTTATCTAGTTTTCTTTCGTTTAATGCCTATGGATTTTTGATGAGTTTCCGTAATCTTTTCTCTTTGTAAATTTCTTTTTCCCTGTAAATGAATATCGCCTCTCCGCCGCCTCGATTAGCCTTTATGCCATTAGCAGTGAAAGAGTATCTATAACTTGAACTAATTATTGGCTGTACCTTAAGTGAGCTAATTAAAATCAGTATACATTATTTAAAAGAGCAGACAAACCTCGCAAAAGAAAAAACAGTCAGGAGTAGCTAGAGGATGTCACTGCAGAAATGTCTGAAGGTTAAATTGTGAAAGGAATCGCAAAAGACTTAAAAGAATTAAGATAGCATTTTGCGATATTTTATTGCCAAATAGTTTATCATTTAGAACTTTCAACTTCACCGCCGGACAGAAAAAATTTGGCACGAGGCCACGAAGTACTTGCCGTGAGCAGCGAGGTTCGTGCGTCATGACCCGCCGGCCTGAACTAACTCCATCAATAAGCATTATTCACCTGTATATTATGACCACCGATCTCTCATTCTTTCTTTCGCCCTCATCTCGCAGAGTTTTTTTTATGATTTTATTACGAATATTAATTTTGGTCGCACCGCTGTTGACTGAGAGGCAGCGCAATCAAAGAAATGTAATCATCTTGATAGCGATTGATGGGGCCGCATTCACGCTTAAAATATTATTCAGTCGAGCTTAGACGAATCAAAATGCGGCGTATCAAAGATTTACAATTTTCAACAGATATTTGTATTAACTGGGTTACGGATGAATCTCAAAGATACTTTTTCACGTAAAACACCCTATGGCATTTCACTGGTTTCATGGTGGATTGTGCAGCACGTTTTGTTAGCACTCGTCCCCTAAAAAGCGATTTATCTGTTGAATAGAGTTATCTGCCCCCTAAACAACAGGGCCCTGATGTCTGAAATAAGAACATAAAGTTAACGTGACAACAGTCATGAGTTTTGTCAGATAACTTTGCCTCGATTTCATTAATGGCTAAAGGATAGAGCATATTCCACCAGTCGTACCCCTTTCTCTCCCAACCTGATCTTCTCAATAGGTTCCTTTTCCTTCTGTTCATTCACTAAAATAAGTCTGAGCGTCGGCCCCTTTTTTCTGGTAACACACCGGGCTATACCGTCTAAAATCCATTACCCTAGCCTTAACCTTGAACCTAGTGGAACGAGATATCTCCTTAAACTTGGCTGATTTACACTTCATACAAAGCCCTTTTCAAAGATGCCTCGACTATTCACCCCTTCGGTAAAATTTCAAATCAGAGATAAAAACTATCCCGTTGACTGAAATAAAAGCGGCGATAAATATTGAATATAATGGAAACTGACACAGAAGAACCTGTATAACACCCTTTATTTCGCGAATTCGCTTCACGTTTATTATTCAAAAATTCTGAGTTTTTTTCAAAGGCATAAGAATTGACGCCAAACAATTTCCCGAATATTTCCAATCAATCGGATAAAATCACACCACTCTTGTCTCCGTAAGGAATGCGCTTATCAATGTTTTGTCTGTCACAGTCTGCATTGATTTCTCTCCAAGCAAACGATTCTATCAGTTATTTGATTCATGTCCCAACAGCAGTTTAACTGCTTGACTTCTTAACAGCACGGCTCGAACCTGTGCCTCTCACCCCATGAAAAAGGCACCCTGCAGCTTTTTGAAGTTATCAGTGTTTTGTGCGAATGATGATTACGGCATGCGTTATAAAAATTCAATATCCTGCTTTGAAGTGAAAAAAATTAGAATTTAAACTTCTCCAGGAGCCCACACTTAAATGCATCAGTCTCAGTCTTTTGTGTAGTCACTGTACCATTGCGATCCACGAAGCTTGAAAGGATTCGCAAAAATGCTCTCGTGAAAACGACAGAAGAGAAAAAAAGTGGAACGAGTTCAAAATAAATTATCAGGTGGGTAAATAACATTTCGTTCTGACCAAAAATTATCATCTGTACTCGTTAATCACCAAAAGCTTGCTGTCGCCCGCTAACACTTTGTCTCTTTTCGCGATCAGAGCATTTGCGGGTCTCCGACGTCATTGCTTTAAAGAACAACTTTTCCTTACAGTTAAAACTTAAAATGGCGAGTCATAAAGTTTGAGTAATATTTAAAGCCATCAGCATGAAGAAGATGACAAAATATCAGCTCGTAAATTAAAAAAAAAAAACAAAAAGACAAGGAAGGGGTGCATATATAAGCAGTGAAAATCTGAGTGGCTGAGGATAGAGATCGTCAAAGTGGTTAACAATAACGAACATCTAACATTTTGGGCAGTTTGAGTTATTTTGACTGCATACAGGTGACCTTGTTCCTAAGCTGCATAGTTAGACACCAATCCGTCTTAAGGTATTAAGCGGGGAGATCCTTCAATCTATCTGGAGGTATGTTGTTGCGTTTTGAAGCTCATATTAGATGGTGAGGCTGCAAACTAAAACTTTTCTCTTTCATAAATTAATCGATATCAATCGGTATCAAGGCAGTGACATCTATAATCCTATCAAGGCGGTGACAGCTATAATCCTGTTGAAATCTTTAAATAAATGTTTTTGGTAATTGAAAGACGTATCTCCACAATAATGATATTTTTGTACGAATGTTGTGCTCTAGAGAAATATAAAACAAATATTTTACAATAAATTGACAACTCCACAAATCAAATTATCACTCTAAAAACCATTCGTTATTCTAAAAAAAATCCGATTTAACAAATGGCTTTACGGCTATTACTCAAGGACACCAAAGCAATTTTATTTCATAACTTTTGTCGTTACTCTTTTTGAAAGAGATAAAAATTCTATTCCACCGAAACCTGCTGGCAGTCCTGCGTGAAATGAATTAATTTTTTTAGCAAGAAAGTTTCACAGTGGAAAACATCTGATTGGGACCATTGTTTCGCCATTGTTCTGCAGGAATTTGTTATCAATATTTGTCCTTGTCTACACATTGGGATATTTCTGGTTTGAATATTGTCATTGAAATGGGGCGAGATAGTGACAATGAGAGGTGAAAAGTTAATTTCTTGATACAGCTTGATACAGCTTGATACAGCTTCCACAAAATAGGGGTATTAAAAAAAAAACCGTAAAATCGCCATTTTATACCATGATTAACCACTACATGTACAAAGACTCATTCAAAAATACTACTGACATTGATTTCGGGAGGAAAATGGATCAAATTTAACCTGAAAGATTATTATTATTTCATTTGAATGGTTCCACTTTAAGTGACCGTTAAGTACAGGTAGAGGACACCACAAAAACGCCGTTAGGACTCGGTGAAGGGCGAATACGACCGCTTAATAAAGGGAGACCGCTTTGTAAGGTGCTGCTTCATAAACGTTTGACAGTTTTCTACGATCTGTATTCAGTGGTGACCATGGCATTTAGGGTAAAGGGAAAATGATAGAAAATATTCTGCCCGTTTGATTTTAATCTTTTTACATCGGAGTGGAAGTATTTGGAAAAAATAAAACGTGTATAAGCAAATCATCTTTTTTTATTTTATAACGAGGTTGTCACAAAGGTCACGCATAGTTTCCACGTTACCAGAATTGATCTGCTGTAGTCTGAGAAAATATAAATGGACATAGCAACTATTTTGCGTGCAGGTATGACATTGTGTATCGCCAACTAAAAAATTGTTATAATTCAATCTTAAGAATTTTAATAAAAAGGTGCATAATGTAAACACTCTTAAATTGAACTTGGTTTGTGCTCGTCATTGATTCGATTCCTGCTGTAACGAATTGAAAACAAAAAGATTGTCAGAATAAGAGGAAATAGAGTCAACTGTTGCGGTTGGGAGTTATAGCGCATTATGCACAAGATTAAATACCACACTATTCTATACTTCTGTACACGAAACAAAAATTTGCACATAAACGTATACGCAAACGTCTTACGCATCTCTTAAAGCGAGAGATTACGAAAAGCAGAGACGATTTGAGGCAGCTTTCGTGCGAGTACATCCCAGATTTGTTTTTGTACGTTACGTTTTCTCCCTTCCAATCATTATTTTCAAGCCTCAATTGCAAGTTTGTTTTTATTAAGAATATCCCTAGATTTTTCAGCAACGATCATTTTCCCTTGCTAACATCACTAAAAATTTTCGACAAATGAAATTTAGGGGAAGTAATTACACTTCGCATAGACGATGGTGTGTACACATTTCGGACTTGTTTCTCTTATTCGTTTAGCAACTCGAGAATATTTGATCAATCATTCACACACCATGATCAAGCTCAGTTTTGCATAACTTATCTCGTGTTTCTTTAAATTTGTCTCCCGCTGTTCAAAGCGCATTTCAAGTCAGGACGCCCCCTATTGGGTTTGTAAAAAACCTTCTGAAGCCCTGAACAATGCTATTTAGTTATCTGTTCTCACCTTTCAAATGAAAATTATGGCCTCAAACAGGAGTAAAGCGAAATATCATGCTCTAGGGATGAACATATATTTGTTAAATCAGCTTTTGACCAATATTGCAGTTGAAAAAGCTGCATTGAAAATAATGAATGTAAAAAATAATTATTTCCTGAATGTTTCTTTAAGGATGCTGGAAAAATAGCATGTGTGCATAGCTCTCCCACGAAATTGATGATATCGTATCAGTGAGTCCTTTTCTCATTTGTAATTAACTCTTAGTTCTTAAGTAAACGACTTCCGAGTGTTTACAGTACTGCTAATAGGAAGCGGATGATTAATATGAAAAAGGTATCATATCTACCAGCCAAAATATTTTTTGACAATTATTCCCGAATCCTTAATGGTTTTTGTGTCCACGGAGAGTCTGTTTTTTTTTTTGTTTTTTTTTTTTTAAGGGGTAGAAATGCTTTCGTTGCGGATTAATCAAATTTCAGATTTCAGTCGGCGTATGGTTCGTAGAGATGGCTAAAACAGAATAAAAAAAGCATTAACATGTATGGCTATCAACATAGGTTTCCATTTTGCAACGGCTTAAGTCAACTGGTGGTGATAGAAAACAGTAGAAATGGCAATTTTGTCGTTTCCTTGGTTAATAATTCAAATTTTGCATCTGAAAATGTTGATGATGAACAGTTGTCACCTTCTTGTTCATAAACAGACTCAAGGAGTGATATTGGATTTGTCAACTTCGCAGCTGCACTTAGCATTACTAAAAGAAACTATTGAGAACAGCAAAACAATTGTGTTATCTATATTATTGAAATTTCTCGTTTGCGTTTTTTTTAATATCATTTCAGAATGTACGATTTGACCCTCTTTAGAAAGTATTTAAGGTGGGTTTGCACTCATCGTTCGAAATCGACCATTTCCTCTTCTCATCGCCCTAAAATTACCAAGTCAAAGAACTCCGTAGAGTCATACAATCGCAACAGGCCACAAGTGTTAATGACATAGAAGCAAGCCATTTTCGAATTTCGCGTGCAATTTTTGCTCGACAAATCTAAAAAAAAAACAATTTCCAATCTTACTCAGGTTTGGGTGATTACCGATATCCTTAATTCTTTAAACTCAAAGATATTATTCGCTTTAGATTTCATTTCAAAATGTCCCTTTTTTAAGCACGAAAAAGATTCCCACAAATGCTAATCAAGGCAAGCCCTCATAGATTAGCCAGCAGCTTTCAGAGAAACACATCTTGATTGTATTTAAATATTTACGTTTGATGGATTGACGATCAGCTGCTGTAAACTTAAAAGAACGACTTAAACCTTGCGCCATCACACAGTAAATGAATTACTGAAAAACACTGTTCATTCGCAAACAAAAGCGGCATTTGGCTTCCGAGTCAAAGGTAAGAGAGCGGAAAAGCAAATTTTGCCTACTTAATGAGCCAAATACTAATTATCTGCTTTGAAGGCTAAGAACAAAACAAAGAAAACATTCTCCCAAAGGTGTCATTAGCACCTTTCCACTCGAGAAGGCTCGTTTGTTTTTCGACCCAAGCCATTCTTTTAATACTTTGACCAGGTTTGTAAAGTTGAGTTTAATAGAAAACTACTCTTCATGATGACAAACTTTAAATTGGAAAATGTCTGACTTGGCTATTGCGTGGATAACAACACTTTTGCGAGTCTCACGAAAGCAAGATTTTATGATCGATATTCGTTCGCATTTCGTGGAGTATAACATCCTTCAGTGTACGAGTTCGATTGTTTCTTCCACTTTAAATTTCGGCCAATTGTGTTAGGCATATAACAACTTGTATCTGAAAATTGTACAGCTAATTTTCATTTCGTTTAAAGATGATTTAATGCACTCACTAAGGTATCTTTTAAGTTGTTAAGTGACCGGCAGAAGTTGGCATTTGTTCAGTACGGTACCATTTTTTTAGCAGAGTACACAAAAACGTCGCTGCCACTACGATTCATCTTAACTAGTTTTATTTTTCTTTCATCACAGATATCTTTTGAGATCATTGAATAACATGAAAAATCAGCCCACACCTGCAGGTAAATTTATAAAAATTCCCGTCAGTTTTAACACGTTTGGAATAATATTGCATTGAGTGCACAAGCCACATTTTTTAAGCAATTCGCACGTATTGGTATATGAGTTTTGAACTTTATAGTGGATAAAATTTAGACTTTGTAAGACAGAGTCTGTTGATAACGAGCAATTAAAAAACCATTAAGATAAAGGAAACACTTAAAGGATTACCGCAATTTTGCGGGCAGTTGTCTGTGGCTGTAAAAGCTCGTTCGTCGCTCCTCAAAGGAGCCACCGTACCGAGAAGAAAGACAAAACCTCCTCCTGAAAATCAATCATTTGATAAAATCTTTCACGGGAGAGACTTCAAATAGAAGCGACACTGATTAAAAAATTACATCTACAAAAATCCTAACACAAGAGAAGAACAGAAATCCCATTAATAGTATCCTACAGATCCCACCAGAATAAATCACGAAAATTTCCTGAACCACTAAAGGCGGTAGCAATTAAGATACACAGTGTCTTCTTGTTTCTAATATTGAAGTCAGTTTGGTTAGTCTCACAATTCGAAAAAAAGTAATTTTGTTTGTTTATTTTTCCTCACCTTTGTGGAGTAACAATTGCGGAACTGACATAGATAATGACATGTTCTCTCTTAAGTTTGAGGAAAAACAGAAAAAAGAGCCAAAGGAAAACGAGGAGGATTGATGGTGGTGTAAGATGAATTGCGGGCGAACTCAAACTTAAGCAAGAGACCAGAACACATATTAGAGAAACCAAAATCTCTGGATACAAAATATTCTCCTTCATGTATTTGCCAGGAATCTGATGAAAACATAATACTCATTAATATGAATTATTTCACTTGTTGTATATCTTTGGCAAACAACTCTTATTATCGCTGCAATGTTCAAAGTTAGGCCTGATCAGCCCAAGTTAGACCTGATCAGTAAATTCGAAATGGTAAAGAAATAGGACTTAAGACAGCTAAGGTAACTTGGTAAGAAGTTATGGTGATCAGAGTGCTTCTATGCATGTGCACTTCTCTATTTTGATTGATGAATGAACTGGGCCTCTAATCCTCAACTTCATCAAAAAAAAAGGTCATAAAATGTTTCTGAGAAGCTCATCAAATAAATCTCAGTTTCTGTAGAATGAACAGAATAGTCCGTGGCAAGTTATCCCACAACATTTCCTCAGGTTTCCCTGAGAGATCGCCGGGACCAACTTACAGTCTTGGGTGGAGAAAGGCACCAACCGACAGGCTATCGAGTCACTGACAAAGAGATCCAGATCTCTAGCTTAGTCCCCTTGGGTTTTCAAGGAAACATTTTAAAGTTACTTTTTGGTGAACTGCTGAACACTTACATCTCCTGTGTTTTTTTTTCCTTTTAAAAGGACTTTCAAGAAATTCGACAAACGATGTCACTTCTGAAGGGTATTACAAATCAGTCACCGTTGGACCATTGGTTGTTTGGAGTCTCCTCCTAAGCTTTATCGCTCTCACTATTATTTTGTCAAACACACTTGTTATTTTTTCATTCATCAAGTATGCCAAATTGCGCACGCGCACCAACTGCCTAATAATTAGCCTCGCTGTGGCGGACTTACTGGTCGGTCTCGTTTCCGTACCTGGTTGGCTAATCCTTATTCACAAAGAGGAAAATCAAAGGTCTACTTGGTATAGCGTTCTCATGGAAATATGGTATGTCTTTGAGATCCTTAGCGGAGTGGGGTCCATATTTCATCTAATGGCTCTAAGCTGGGATCGACTGTGTGCCATTGTATGGCCGCTGAAGCATCGTTCATACACTAAAACGAAATATCTGGTTATAATCTTCGTAGCTTGGTCAGTGGCAACGCTAGTGTCAGGGCTCTCTGTAACTGGAAATAGGAATTCGCCACAAGCGTACAACATGACAGTTATTTGCCTGTGTTTCTTCCTGCCTCTTGTTCTGATCTTTTTAGGCCAAGGAATAACTTTGGTCACTATCAAACGCAACATTGCTAAATTTCACCATAGCTCCAGCCTAAAGCGGGATGTCAGAGCGACTAAAACAATTCTTATCATGATAGGCTTGTTTTTGATTGCCTGGCTGCCATTCTTTTCTTTGGGTTTGGTTCGTTTCATACAAGACGACCACTCTGCATTACCCGCAAACGCAATCTTTGCAGTCAAAATGTTGCAATACAGTAATTCACTTTTTAATCCCATTCTTTACGGGCAAAAGTTTCCAGAATTCAGAAAAGCATACATAATGATTTTATGTTCTGCCAAAAGTGATGGTGACAGCGCACGGTTTGCAATTTCTTCATCAGTAAACACAAATAACTTTGGAACTTCTTCGTCCACTATTCGTGCGTTATGTCCTCCTCCACAAAGATCTCACAGATTATTACGTGCCTTGATAAGGCAGCATGACGAGAAGATAGACAAACCACAGGAAGAGGAGGAGCTGACGTTCATGGACAGTGGTCTTTGACACTTTTTAAAAGGATTTATTGCATAGTGCACGCCTTCAGTGGAAGCTAGACGGCGAGTATGTCTTCTTAAATGATGTTCATTTAACATGGTGCATTTACAAAAAACCTGTGTTCTCAATTTTGTTTGGGCTGGATCGTAAGAAAGAGAAAAAAGTAGTTTTACTAGAGTAAATAGTGTGCTTTGGCTATTCTTAATTTACTGCTACCCATAAAGCCTTGCTGTGGAAATAAAATTATGAAAGAATTTCTGAGGAAGCTATGCCTCTTCGCCATCGACGTTTATTTGAGCCATGCCAGGTGGCGCCTACGACAAATTTCATAGAGAGCTTTGTTGTGACACAGTCAGTTATTAAAAACGGATCACATTCCAACTGTTTCGCATTCACTAGGGTTTAAGCAAACCAAACCCCCACGGCAGCTCTAATGAGGACTTCAACAGCCGTACATGTCCATCTTAAAGTTTGTACATTTCATTATCCTGCAATGCAAAACGACAACGTGAAATGACCTAAATTTTGCGTCGTCCGAACTCAATCCTTTCCACCAGTATCACGATTCAAATGAGATATGACGGTTGAAAGGTTCTGACTGCTTCAAGTCCCTTGTATTTTCACTTTTTCCTATGCCTACGTGTACCCGTACCTCCCCCCCGCCCTTTGCTAATTCACGATGAAAACACCATTTCTGATGAAGAATTCGCTTTTCTTTACGATTTTTTTCTGTCGAAAAATTCAGATTTTTGAGTCTTACGATCAATTCGACCCAGGTGATACGTCCTCAGCTGTTTTACAAATTCCTCCGGTGATTAAATGCAGACAGAGGAGACTTTGTGATGGTCTCTAGGGGCTGTGTGTGCTTCTGAGGCGAACGAGCTACCCTTGTCGATGCAGTGACATGATTCCACGATTTCCAAGACCAGTGTCTGTTTTGAGTTTGATTACCAATGAAGTCTTAAATTTTATTTTTGAAAACCCATGGTCACAGATTGGAACGGAAATGTTCCAAACTCTCTGGCTCTCCAGATATATGCAGAAGCAATATCGAGAAAAGGGTCACCACTACAAAATTGCTTCGGCTTTACAAATGGATCTGTTCGGCCAACTCAAGACCTGACACTGGGCAAAGAGTCGTTTACAATGGACACACGAGAGTGCATGGCTAAAATCTCAGTCCGTTACCCAACCCGATGAATTAATTGCAAATATCTTTGGATCAGTAGCTGAGCACTTTATTTACATTGTTCTATCCAATACATAGACACACGTAATGTAAAGATTTTTCCTAACTTGGCTGGTTAAAATATGCCAAAAGATAAACAGTTTTGAGCTTGGTTTTAGTTTATCTATACCTGAGTATTTGATGTTATATCCAAATAATATCCTCAAGTTGATGATTTTTTTTTACTTTTCGACATCTGTCTGCTCGACACGGTCTATTAAAGTTGTTCGGCGAATTTGGTCACTCCTGGGAGTCAAAAATTGGGGCTCTCTGTAGTTTTGTCAAAATATGGCAAGAGTAAGGGGTGCCTAAGAGACAATAAATTCTCTTTGTTGAATATTATTTGCTCTAGAATAAACCTCTTGTGTTACTTTTCGTAGGGATGTAAGCACGATGCTGCAATGCTGGCTGATTTTGGGCTCCTAAATGACTTAGGCCGATTTGCCTTCTCCCCCACAAGAGCACCTATGCGTGTTTACGGGGATCCCGCATATCCCCTCCGGACTCTTCTACAGGGCCAATTTTGTCGGGCACATCTCACACTACTAATGAAAGCATATAATACAGCAACGAGCACAGTTCGCACTTCCAGGTCTAGTCCTAGTCTTAGTCAGAATGAACATATCAGTGGCATTGGGGATTATGTATTTTTCCAGGTGATAACCACCTTAAGTTGCACAATGATATTATAGAAGTTATAGCTTCAATTGAACATACGTTACTTAACTCAAAAGAAAATATCATGCTCAATGAAAACAACTTTACTTATCACCTTCGGTAAAACCGAAAGAAACATGGTGTTCATTTGCTATTGCTTTCGCAGGAGTGCTTGCATAACCTGCTCCTGACTTCCCTGCTCTTTCTTTTTTTATGTCAAACGCCGCGAGCGGTTGTGCGTATATCTGGCCTGACTTGCAGCATTTGGAGATCCATCCTTTTCTGATCTCAGTTTCTTCGTCTCCCTTAAGTTTTCCATTACTTTTTTTCCTATGCCGTCAGCCGTTTCTTTATCCTCTTGTTTAGAGGAAGAATCCGCGTCCGCAAATCATCCGGAGAGATTCCACTTCCCTTTTTCTTCCTCGCTCATTTTCTTCGTAAATTTCTTCCCAAAAGCATCCATCTCTCTCTCACTGCTCTTTTGTCTCTGAGTTGAAACTTTGGAGAGTCAATTCCATTCAGTGTCTCTACTATGGCCTCCTATACCAGACCACGCTCTAGGCTTCCCTTTTTCACAACAAACACATTTCCGGCTGACATTCTCGTAATAGCAACACATCATACTCCTTCGTCCACTCCATTTGCCTGAGAGAAAAGTCGAAGTGGAAACAAATCAAAGAAAGATTGTTAAAATTTCCAAAATTGTTAGATGTAATAGACTCTTTTTTTCCTGCACATTTGATTTTGGTTTCTTACTTCAATTTTCTATCGTCCGTTGCCGCCGTTTTACGCACAACACAAAGGTACGTATGTCACGAAGCCAGGAGACGATCCTTATTTTCCTTTTTAAACACTATATTATTTATCTTAAACTTCTGGAAACCTTACGACCCCGAACCTTATTTATAGTAGCCGATTTCTTATTTATAGTAGCCGATCTGAAACACTGTTTTTAGCAGCAAGAACATTCTAGACGCTAATGATGACATATCCTTAAAATAACTCAATAGAATGTTCTGGAATATGAAGAAGTTTTTAGCTCAGCTTATGCAATAGCGTTGTGGTAAATCAACGTTCTATTAATTTCTGGAGACTTCGTTACAACGTATAAGAGGGCTTCTCTTATGGACCTTGTGAGTAGTAAACCTAGAAATAGACAATGTCGAGAACGATTTCTTTATAATTAATGATTAATGTTATAAATTGTCACACAATGTAACGAAATACTAGACTGATCGTAACGCGAATAGGAAGATTTCGTGACATGATATTTCACAACGTTGTAAACAAAGTTCAACACTGATTTGCATGCGTACAGTGAACTCAATAACGATACCGGGCTAAAGAGTAGCTCTGTGTACAATCAGAACAGCCCCACCCTGCCCATTGTCAACTTCGAAGAATTCCTAGGCGACAACGATGACATTACTGATCAAGATCTCGTCGCTTGGGTTTCTATCGGATGTATCCAATTTCCGAGCTCCGAAGATATCCCGAACGCTGCGACGCCTACGAACACGGCCAGGTTCTTTCTTCGGCCGTTCAATTACTTCGACGCCGATCCTTCAATAAATTCTACCGGTGCAGTGTTTATCAAACCTTCGACAGACAAAAGTGGTTCAGGTCCTCCTGTGGTTGCGAGCCGTGTGGATCATGGTAAAGATGTCTGCGTGCCAAGAAAATATGACATTAACTTAACAGGAACTTACGATTGAAGAACGCGTTCAACTCACATTATTAGTTCACAGGAGACATTTGACGCACAGTTCCAGTCAATAGGGCAAAAAAGAAGAGATGTTGAAGCTGCTATTCTCCCTCCACCCAGCTGT